CAACAGACTTGATTAGGGACACAGAGAGCGAATTGTACGAAACATGGGGAGAGTCTTTTAGATACGACATCGAAGTAGTCATCACTTTCAATGACGCAGTTATGCATTGAGTCCAATAAATTGACGATTGGGACTAACAAGGTGATCTTCTGAGTATCGACGAAGTTCTGTTTATCGTTCAAGAATAAGCCTTGGAGTAATTCGATCGCCAAATAGATTGTTTCTAAAACGACTTCTGAGTTATTATCACTCTCAGACTTCTTTGCTCTGACGACATTTGACTCTGGCAGTTGCATTGTAGCTAATGAGATAGGAAGTTCCGCAAGGATTTTGACCAAATTAGTTAAGAAGAAGGTGTAGTAAGGCACAAAGAGGGACTTCAGTGTCTTCGAGTACTCAACGATGACTTTGGCATACAAATACATCGCATTGACCTTCTTCTGCTTGACCTTTTCGCCAAAGTTGTCGCTCAACTTCATGAAGAAAGGCTTGAAAGTGTCGTCACTGAGTTTCATAACTAACGCGGAGAACATGTTGACCAATTCCGTCACACAGTGTTTCATATTGAGTGGACTTTCAAGAGTCGGGACTAAGTCCAAGACTTCAAACAAGAAGTTGTAGAGCAAAGTTCTCACATTAGAGATGTTAGTTTCTTTCTGACTCAGTCCAGAGGAGATCAACGTGAAGATGGCCGACAACGATGTGTCATTTTGTAATAGTTTCTCTTTATAGTTTGTCGAAACCATTTGAACTATTAATCTAAATTCCAAGGAAGATGACATCACGTGCATTAACTCCACTATAGATGGAAGAACCATTGCGTTTGTAGTATATAAAGGATTCAAAATCTTACTTACAAACTGCGAGACGTACGGCGCAATGACGTTTTTGTAGGATTTAGTGAACATCATGACACAAGAGATGACTGAATTGATAAGACTGTTGACACTATCCTCATCCCCTGTTTCTGGTAATAAGTCGAAGAACATCGGGACCAATTCGGGGAGTTGTGGGAGTAACGTTTCTTTCAATTCACTGGCGTAGATCGACAGACATAATAATGCGCTCGCTACTATCTTTACATTTCGAAGGGGATTCGTCAGTCTGACACAATTGAGGACATAAGGGAGTAAATCACTGAAGATCTCAACATGAGCGGCTCCATAGAATCGTAACAAGATTTCGAGTAATAAGACCCCAGTCTGGACTGTCCCTATTTCAGCTTCTTTATCTTCACTTGACGCATTCAAAGTATTGACGTTTTCTAAGATCTTAATAACGACGTGAATTAACCCATTGTCTTGACTTAAGAAACTGCCTTCATACTTTAACATGTCCTCCGGAGAGAGATCAGTCAACTTCTGATTTAAAATCATTAAAGCCGTCCGTTTGACCCATATCCCACTCTGTTTAATTAAGAAGATGACGGCGCGGATCAGTGTAGTGATACTAAACAAGTCGGCGATGTTGTCGACCATATCTCGTAACAAGTTCGACGTGTTTTGATTTGTTTCGTCGTTATCAAACAAATTCAGTCCTTCAACGACTTGTTTGAAGAGAGTAGTGTAACTCTGTTGGATACTTAAGTCTTCATTGCACTTCATACACTTCAACACAAATTCCTTCTTCGTGATTTGCTTGTTGACTAATTCTAGACATAACTTCCCATCATCTTCCGGCTTCACAATGCGGTGGATGTACCCACTTAACACACTCTCTGCAGTCTTTTTTATTAAGAGTGTCCCGCACTCTATCAACTTCGATAAGATGTCGATGACTTGCCCATTCGACATCTCTTCCATAATACTCATAACAAATGGTATCACACTCTCTCCTTCATTCTCTAAAAGAAGAATAATAACACCAGCAATGTGCTCAATATCAATTTTAGTCTCTTTGAATAAGTGAACGAAGATTTCGAGTCGTCGGTGATACGCTAACTGTGTGAAGTTGTCAACTATCATCATTAACAACTCTACTACAGCACTCCCAGGTAATCCAGTCGTCGTTTTAATAGTCAAGATGACTTGTGGAATCAACTTCTGAACTACTATACCTACTATCTCATCTTTCGAAATGGCACGGACAAACCGATCGGAGTGCTCAACAAAGGTATTTGGGAAGACGGCGATCAATTGGGATATTAAAGTGATCCCATTGTTGTATATATTTGGCGTGTTACCAAACTCCCCAATGACTTCATAGATGACATCTACTACTTTCATCACATCTATACCATCAGCTAATTCTTCTAATGCTTCATTCTTGGCAGCATCTTTCTTACTCTTCACAACTATTACGCGACGCTTCCCTGTAGCACTCGGCGTACGTGAAACACCAACCATGTTTCTGTAAATGAGATACTTCCCACAAAGTGTGATTAAAGCAGTCAACCCAACCATTTCAACACTCGTCATATACTCGTAGTGATTCTCTTGCTTCATTTTCATCGTCTTTTGAAGCAAAACAACAACATTTTTGACTAAAGATATCATCTCCTGCACTTCCACGTCATTCGCGAAGTCTACCACCTTATTCGGGTTTTTCGTGCGTAAGAAGGACTCGATGATGAATGTCAACTTCTGCATGGAATTCTTCACATTATTGGAGATCTGGACCTTTTCAGTGATTTCCTTATCTTGAGGAGTCTTCTCTTCTTCCATTTTGTGTTTGTCTTCGTTCTCAATCATTAAGAGGACATCCCCGACTGTTTTGTTAATGAACTTGAATGGGATCTTAGTGATCAATTCATTGAATTGTTGGATGATAGTCGTTCTCTTCTCTTTAGAGTGTTGACTTAATACATAAAATAAGTCGTCTTTCTGTTGATCAGTGAAGACGTCGAACACTTTGTCTTCCATCAACGAGACAACAAAGACCAAATTGTCTTCATTACACATTTCAAAGACATCTCGCAGCTTCAAGTACTTCACATTGTCATTCAAGAAAGTGCTTTGGTACATCTCACTGAAGATGTTCTCAATAACATTTTGAAGGACTTTTTGTTCGAAGCCGGTCTCATAGATCTCGTCGGGGGTTTTAATCATCGCGATGATCTCTTCGATGACCGACGAGTTGCGCATCCCAAACGTTTCGATCATTTTCAATTTCAATTCAGAATCAATTTTGTCGTCTTTTTTGAGCAATTCAATAGCACCCGCAACAAATGTGTCGATTTCTTGTGAAGTCATTTTCTTAAAGAACAAGTCGAAGAATGTTGGTAAGAACTCATTTGACGCGGTGAACTCCGCTCTGCATTCGATGACATAGTTAATCATTGCCAGACTTATCTTAACCTTCACATCTGTAATTTTCAGTGACTGCGTGACTTCCATAATTGCTTCAAGTTGTTTAAAGACAAAAGTTCTCTTTTGCAATTCCGGGTGTAACAGACCCACCATAATGAATAAGGAGTAAACACTAACTACAGTAGATACTTCCACTGGAGTCAATGAAGAATAGTGTTCGTGTATATATGGCGCAAAATGAGGTGTCGATATCAACAAATGTAAGACATCATTCGGCTTTATCTTTGTAGTGTTATAAACAGTTTGAACTGATTCATAGGGGAAGACTAATAACAAGTCCAAACACGATTCAAGGTCTTCTGATGCAAGTTGGACGACATATGTCATTAAAGCTTCTGGAAGTAAATTTGGCAATTCCAATTCACTGAGTAAAACTTGTGAGAGAAGGGTACTCTCTTGTAATACAAACTTCTCTTTCGATAAGTCTTTTTTATCATTGAAAACAGGACAAATCAGTGTTAATAAGTCGATCATCATATTCTTAATTGTCTCATCTTTTGTTTGTAAGTACTTTATGTTCAATACAGACATCATGAAGAGGCCACTTTTCACACTCATCTGGGTGTCACTTAATCGCGACACATCTAAGTTGGCACTCATCTCTTTAACAATATCAAAGTACAGTGCATCGACATCGGAGAACTTAATAGACCCTTGAGATAACACTTTCTGGACTCTTCCCATCAACTCTTCTTTATTCTTTTTCAATACAAAGACGCCTTTGGTCATATACTTCTGGTACAACAGAATTATCACTAAAGCATTGTACATAGTATCTTTGGTGGGTAAGAATAACTCACATAATGTGCCATTCTCTTCATTTTCAAACGAAGAAATGTACTTCATTAAAACTTCAAGTACTTCTATAGGGAGTTTCCCGGAGAACGTCAATAAGTGGTTGAGTATGGTAGTCTGTGGTAACACCTTTTTAAGTCTTTCAAAGTGGGTGTCTGCAAAGACGGAGATGTAGAACCCATGCTTCTGTGGAGTATCAAACAACGAGCAAATCAATTCTTTCATCTCAGTCAATTCATCTGAAGTATTCTGTAATATACTCAACATTCGAATAATAGCGGCATTCGTCACTACACCGCTCTGCTCTATAGAAGCAATAGTCCCAATATACCTCCCATTCTCATACAACGGCACATTGACTGAGGCTGGCAAAATCGATTTCAGTTCATTCGCAATTTTGACGTTATTGATGTCAGCATTTTGGAAGTACGCGTTAACTACTTCGCCAAAGTCCTTTGTTTGGTTGATGTCCAAAAATGTGATAATTGGTCTTGATTCAATATCTAGAATGATGGGAGATGCTTGTTTGGCCTTATTGCAGATATACGAGAAGATCAGTCTAATGTGCTCCTTAGTGAGTTTCAATATTTTGACTAAGGGGAAGACCACTTCATGTAACGTCTTGTTATTCCCACCAACTATCAACGTCTTAATGAGACACTCGAAGAAGTCTGAGACGTCGCAGCTGTTCTTCGACAAGTTAATAAGTGTCGACACGACGACTCCTGTTGATGCGGCAATGAATTTGAATATTGGCAACGGGAAGGAGTCCAATTTCTGTTGGTACTTTGCGGCGATGCAGAGGACTGCGATGAATTGAGAGGGTGACGAGAGTGAGATCTTCTTCTCCAATATTGTGAGCAACGAGATGTATTTATTCATTGGGAGTGTGTGGACGGAGAGGATTTGACCAATAACAGTGAGTGCAATGATCATCAATTTTGGCGCATTTGATTTGATGTATTTTAAGACGACGGTTAATATCGAAGACATGACGCTCTCTGTGACAATTTGTTGTTGAGAAATTTGTACGAGGAGTGTAGTGATGAAAGCGGTGTATTTAGTATTGTTATAGAGTATAGTGTGGTCATAGAAGTAAGTTGCTAGGGTATTAATATACATAGGGTTTTGCGTCAGATTTGCGACTAACGTTCGTTTGTTAATTTTGTCGAGTTTCACGAGGTTAGCAAAGATCGTTGGTTTACATAAATGGAAGAGCTTCATGAAGAGTGCGTTTTGGTAATAGGGAAGGACGGACAGAATTAAGTCGTCTGCGTCTAAGATATGGATTGAATAGACACGGATCATATATTCAATGATGTGCCCGTAATTGACGTTTAAAAAGTGTCGAGAAGTGTATGGTAAGAATTCTCTAATCTTCTTCGATAATTCGATGTTCTTTGCGTCAGTCAAAAGATCTCGATTTGTCTCTTGTGACTCGACGGAGAATAAAGACATCTTCCACTCTTCATACATCTCATGCGTTTTAAAGAGTTTGTCGAAGGCGTCTGATGCGTTGTGTTGCAGTGTATATCGATCAATTATAGCTGCTTGATTCTTTTCGTATATCAGTGACACAATTAACGACGGTGACACTGTTGGAACAAAAGTGTTCAGTTGTTGAGCAATTGTAATCATTGAATCTACTTCTTTAGTTGTTTAATACACCTTTTATATGATGTCTTCCTCTTAGGGTTTTTTTCCTCTTTTATTTTACACAAAAGATTCTTTAATTGCCATTTAAATTCTCTAAGATTTCATCAGTAGCTCTTGTCTATTCTATTTTTGATTCAGTGCACTTTTTCTAATAAAATTATAATAAAATACTATAACTTACTAGTATAAAAATACATCAAATGTCATACTACAGAGAGGGTTAACCACTTCATTTGAAGCAATTGCCACTCAGAAAAATCGAATAAAGGAAAAACATTTTACTTCACAACACGACATAGAAACTGTTATTAAGACGCACAAGAAACCCTAAATAACAAACCCATAGTGCAAACCAGACGGAGAAGTGATGTCAGAAACACTCCAATATTATGTGAAACTTGCTTCATTGGACCCGAAGGTGCGTATAGCTGCGGTCCAATCGATATTAACGATCCTTAAAAAGTCCGAACAAGGGATGACTGGGGGAGAACATAGTGAAGTAATGATCTATTCGATTGATCGGGTTGTTCGTTCATTAGCGTCTTCACAAGACTGTGCACGGAATGGCAACTTGCTCTGTTTAATAACGATTTTAAAAGCATTTCCAACGGTGGACGAGGCTTCGATCATTAACATCGCGACGCGCAATTTCACGTTGACGGGCACCAACAAACAAACCTTCCGAGACGTCTTATTTGCGCGGCTTTCTGTTTGTCTTGCGTTAATTAAAACGGGGCGGGTGACGACTTCTGCGACGTTAAGTTACATCGTTAAAGCCTTTTATGTCATTTCTAATAAGAAAGCGTATATGAATGACATCACAATCGAGTCCTTTGCGTTACTCTATGAGATGTTACCTCAGACTTTACACGAGACTTTAGTAAGTCTTTTGAATGAACGAATGGCCACATTAAGTGAAAAGGCCTTTTTGCCATTGGACACCTTTGTTTTGTGTTACAGTGCGATTTACGACTGGAATGTAACACTGCCACAAGTGTTACATGGGGCACTCTTTAATGAGAAGGCATATATCTTAAGAAACACTTTTCTATTAACTTCACAGTACACCGCTCAGAGAGTCTCAAAATTGTACTGCGCACTCTTAAATGCAGCTACGAAGACGGGTAACTTACTCATCTTCTCTAATAACATCATGGGCCCTCTTGGGGATAACATCACTTCAATGTTCCAAATTATGAGCACCGTCACTACTTTAGTCGACACGTTAACACCAGAACAAATTCCTTTTGTCTTCTCATTGCACTTCATTGGAAGCGCCGCGAAGTTCTTAGTCGAGCGCAATGGCCAATTAAAGAAAGTAGCTGCTCTGTTATTTAAGACTGTGTCACAGAATAAGACTCATAGTACCGAATATGCCTTTTCCTTTGTGAGAAAGGGGGGATTCATCCATATCGATCAAGTCAGTGGCATTAAGATCTTAGCGCCTTTAATCAGACAGTTAAGTGCAGAAGACTTGAATAAAGTCGTTGATTTCATATTTGAGAAATTTGATCAATTCAATAAGAAGCAATGGGATCTTGAGATCTTGAGTACTGTAGCAACAGCAGTGAATTGTTCGAGTGAATTAAAGGCGACCATCTTATCGATCTTAGTCGCTTTAGATCGTGGACTTGAGCATCCGAAATTGAAGAGTGTGTATCAAGTGGATGAAGCGCTTCAAAGATTGTTAGAGGTGTCGTTGTACTGTACGAAGAAGACGGACGATCACATGAGTGTTCTTGTGGACAATTTCCGCTTGTTACATTCTGTTCATCAAGAACAAGACGCTGCTCTTATACCACCTGGATTTGATGAAACTGTAGCGTTGTGTGGGGAGAAGAAGGAGTATCAGATCTTATTGTATTACTTATGCTTAGTAGCGTACCAAGGGGAAGACGCTTTAAATGTGTTAGAAGATGCGATGAAGGCGTGCAGTGTATTAGTGAAGACGAGTGATGACAAAGAAGCCAAAGAAGTGTTAATAGATGTTTTAATAGGGATGTTAGGACAACCAATTTCACAACCAAGAAGTATAGTGACGATGATATGGGATAAGATGGCTAAAGGGGTTGGATCTTCTATTAATTGTGTTTTTGAAGCTATGGCTACAGCGGAAGAAGACATTCAAATTGAAGAGGAAGAGCCTAATGAAGATAAAGAAGGCGATGCGGTGAAGATGGAAGTGGAGAAATTGGGAGAAGCAGTTACTGAGACGACGGCTGAAGGAAATGATGTTGAAATGGATCCAATGCAATTGCTGGAAGACGACGACCCCATTCAAAAAATGATTTTGGAAAAACAAGAGAAGAAAAAAGAAGACAAAAAGGCCAAACAGAATTTTGAAAATCAACAGAACGTCTTCCAATCGCGACTGATTGCGTTACTTGAGACGTACTGTAAAACTAATTACGACCTTCCTGAATTCTTGGAGTTCATCCCGAACTTACTCAACGCAATTGCACTCTTCTCGTTGAAGAGCAGATATGAACAGATCTTCGAAAGACTGATGGGGCTTTGTGTGACGATCTCTCAAAAGGCGTCCACTATTAAAGAAGTCAAATACGACGAATTAAAAGTTTCCTTTGAAAAGATCAAGTCGAATATCCACAAGAGAAAGACCGAATTGGCGGCTACAAAGTTATTGCATTACTACGCAAAGTACACAAGACGTGTTCCTGAAATCACTAAGGACGTCAGTGAGTTCTTAACATCAGAGCTTTTACGATTACTTCACAAGAAGAGGGGTGTCAATTATAAAGTGATTGAAAGTATTATCCGTGGCACAGAGAGTCTCCAGAGCCCCGAGTTGATGTGTGAAATCCTCGACAATTGCGAGACGGCACTTTTAAGAACTAAAGTCGACTCTCTTGACTTGGCTTGCTTCATCTCAAGGAAGATTACAAGTGATGAGGGTATTCCACGCATCATTGAATGTCTTAAGAAGCACTTATTAGAGAAGGTGAAAGCAGTCTTTGAGAACCCGAGTGGCAAAGAGATGTTAAAGATGTTATTCCTCCTTAAGGGGATGTTACTGAATATCAAAGACACTGCAACCCTTGGCGATGAACTCCGCCAAACTGTTTTGAAAGAAATCGAAACGAATTATGAGGAGTTAGGGAACAAGACAGTCCTCAAAAACGCATTCCTCGAGATCAAGAACTTACTCACAAGCAACAGCCTTCGTTCCAAAGAGAAAGTGATTCAAGACAATAAAGAAAACAAGCGCCTCAGAAACAAGAAGAAGAGAGAAAGGAAAGAAGCAAAATTAATAAGACGGGAACAAAAAGAGAAGAGGAGACAAGAGAAAATGGCAAACCTTCATAAAATGGACGAGAAAGAAAATGAAGAGAACAGTGAAAGTGACTCGGAAGACAGTCACAGTGATGCCGACAAAAGTGGAAGTGAGAGCGAATTGGATTAATTTCCAAAGTGATTGATTACTTTATTGTTAGGGTTTTTCTTCTTTTGGATTTGATTTGAATGAGTTCAAGTCAAACACAACTTGAAGACCAAGAACCACTCAAATCATTGTGTTATTATTCATCGTCGCGGGTATGACGCGTTGGCTTCTTCCCAACAGTACGAACGACACTCGAGATGTTGTTAATCACTTTAGTGTTGAACAGCACATTTGCATTGTCAAACATCCCCGACTTCAGTGAAACAACTATAAACTGTGACGTTTTGAAGTGTTTCTTGAGCATCGCACCAAAGTTCTGTGTATTCGAGACATCCAGCGCAGCATCAACTTCATCGAGAATATAAAGCGGTGACGGTTTATACACCAATATTGCTAAGATGAGGGAAAGCGCTAATAACGACTTCTGCCCACCAGATAATTCCATTAACGACTCTTTCCATAACTCGCCAAGACGAACTTGTGGTTCTATTCCTTTGTATATGGAGTTGCCGTCAGTTGGGACAAGGCGAGCTGATGCTCCCGGATGTAACGTCCCAAAGATTTCGCCAACTTTCTCATTAACAAAGTTGAATGCCGTTTGAATAGCTTCTTGCATCTTATCGTCAAGATCTTTAATCACTTTCACAATTTTGTCTTTGTCGGTCTCAATGATGTGTTTACGCGAAATAAGTTCTTTGAATTCCTTTTCGACTTTGTCTTGATGAAACACAATTTGTTTGTTGACACCTTTTTCAATCTCAAACTCTTCTTTCCTCATCTGTTCAAGTTGTTGCTTCGCATCAGAAATCTCTTTTGCAGTGATCCGTGAGATGTCAAAGTTCGTACTCTCCCTTTTAATCCACGCATTCTTCTTTTCTATGCGTTCGATCTCTTCACTCATCCGTTCGACATCTCCTTCCTTCTCACTCACATCCTTCTCAAGTCGTTTATTCGCCATTTCCAACTCGTTGATCTCGCGATTGATCTTTTTCTTCTTTTCACTCTTCTCATTCACCTTCCGCGTTGTCTGAAGATTTCGCTCTTTAATGGTCCCAATCAGTTTCCGCACATCTTCAGCCTCCCGCAGTTTATCATTCTTCTGACTTTCAATTTGCGCGATTCCTTTCTCAACTTCCCTCTCACTGTTCGTCTGGTTTTCTACTTCTTTACTCCACTCCTCAACTTTCATCTTCTCAATCTCTAACTTCTTCATCTTCTCTTCTGCTTTTTGTTTCTCTTGCATCTTCGCGTTCAACACACTCTCTTCCGTCTTGATCTTCTTTATTATCTCCTTCTTCACCGTCTCTTTCTCGCCATTTTCAAGCCGCTTACGCTCTTTGAAAACTTCGTCTCTCCGTTTTATCAACTCGCGCATTTCATTCTCCTTTTCACTGATTTTTCTCTCGACTATTTCACGCTCTTTAATCGCCTGCTCTCGTTCTTCCTTCTGCGCCTCGACACGCTCCCTCTCTTTCTCAGCAGCCTTCCTTCTCGCAATGACAATCTGCAGTTGCTCCTCCTCTCTCTCGCGTTCATCCAACTTGTCGGTAATTCCTCGCAACTGGTCGACGTCTCTTCTGACGATCTCAATTTGTTTTAATACATCTCGTTGTTTAGAAACCTCACTAATAAATCCAGACGCCTTCGGCTTGCACCCACCAGTCAACACACCAGAAGGATCATACAAATCGCCAAGTATAGTAACTGTTTTCATCATCACTTGTGGATGGAAACACACTTTCCTCGCAGTCTCCTCGTCTTCTGCGATCAGAACATTGCCAAAAACGTACTTCGCAACCATTTCAAGTCCTTCTGGATACCCAACAACGTCCATCGCATAATAAATTTTATCTCCTCCAATCTCCTTTGCCTTTCTAATCTGATTTGGATTTGCTACTTGTGGAGAGATCTTATTCAATGGCACAAATGTCATGCGCTTCTTTAACCCTCCGCGCTGCATCACCAACGTCGCTGTCGCATCGCTATCACACACAACGTGGAACAACTTTGCACCCGCTGCGATCTCCAACGCACTCGCATACTTCATGTCATTTGGAACAACCAAATTCAATACAAATCCGTTGACAAGTCTTCTGTTAAAGTTTTGTGTGGGGTCCCGATATCGAAATTCAAAGTTGTGTCCTCTCACCAAATCGTCGTATTTGTGTTGCAAGTCTCGTAATTCCGCAGACTTTTCTGATAAATTCACTCCACTCAACCCCGCAGAAACACTCGGGTTTTCCTTCTGGAACTGAGCGACTCTTTCACGAAGGACATTCTCTTCTTTGATAATTTCATCAACAGTCCTCTGCATCTCTTCTACATTCACTTCAAGTGGAATTGCTCGTTGTTTCTGTCGGATCAAGTCTTCCATTTGAATTCTTGATTCGCGAAGTTCCGTGTTAATTTGTTCCGCAACATCATCTCTCAAATTCTCTCCATTGATCTTCTCCAGTCGTGTTTTCAGCTCTTGCAACCGCTTTTCGGACCATTCCACTTCTCTCAATATCCGTTCGTCATCATCTCCAGTCTCATTTTGAACGCGTTTGATCTCGCTTTTCAGTTTCTCCTTTTTGTTTCTGATCGTTTTCAAATGGGTGTTCTCACCCGCAATTCGCGTTTTCAATATTTCAATCTCCTCCTCGACTTTATTCAATCGACTCTCCTCACCATCGTAACTCTCAAGTTTGTCTTCGACGAAATCCTCCGCCATTTCACTCACTTTTTGCTTCAGTTTTTCAAGTTTTTCAATCGTCTGTTGTTGAGTTGTTTTCAGTGTCATCAACGCCTTTTGTGACGATCTTAAAGTATTTTGATTCTTCAAATAAGAGAATATCTTCAAGTTATTTTCGATAGCGTCTGCCTGTGCTTTCTTTGTTCTTAAATTTGTGAGTGATTCGGCGTCTCTTTTTAATTTCTCTTTCGCTGGTGTGATCTCATTTTTCAAGACGCTTTCTATCTCCGCAAGCTTTGCGTCTTTTTTGTCAAGTACTTTAACGGCTTCTAACCGTTTGGTTTGATACATTTTAGTACCTGTGACTTCTTCTATCATTGCTAATATCTCTTTTGGCTTCATATCGACGACTTCCATCACTTTGCCTTGCATGATGAGAAAGTGTGGGTTGTTCACGTTCAGGCCAATTGCTCGAAAGAACGTAAGGATGTGAGACTGCGGTAACATCTGACCGTTTAACATGTATTTGTTCTTCCCCGCAACTGTAATTTGTCGTGAAACGTTGACCGTGTCAAACGACTCGTACCCCGTCGGAGAAACACTTTTGTCGGAGTTGTTGAAGACTAAAGTCACGGTCGCCTTCGTCACTCCACACTGCCCCGACTTATATATCAACTCTTGAATCGTCGTCACACGGACAAGCGAAAGGTTTTGAATACCAAGAACAAAACATATCGAGTCGAGGATATTCGACTTGCCAGAGCCATTCAGGCCCGTAATCGCATTGAACTGGGGGTCAAAACGGCCTATAGTCGTACGACGCGCATATGACTTAAAGCCATCTACTATCACCTCCTCAATATACATCACTTTGCTCTTAACAGTTTTCTCTTTCTGCCATCACTGAAAAAGAGAAAACATTCAAATCTGAATACCATTTTAGTCTATTTCTGGTTATGAATTTATAATGAACGTTTTGGTTTTTGCATTTTTATTATTTTAAATAACAATAATGATTAAAAGATGGAACTAAAGACAAATCAATTTATATGAAAATAAAATATAGATAAAAATTAATAATAAATAACTATAGAATAGTATTTTTGAGTTTTGTCTGTAAGGTAATTATAAAAGACTGGAGTCAATTAAAGTCTGTATATTTATTTAACTATTTATATATATTATTAATATTAAAAGAAATGGTTTAATTTGATTCAGAAAATATTTAAATCTATACCTAAAGACAAGATTCATACCCAAAGTACTTGGATACTCAACGTCCACTCTGTATATCATCAATACAACAATTACTCTATGGTCTCTACATACTATTTATATAACACAAACAACACTTAGTTTATAACGAAAAAATGTAAATGACTCAAGCCTCAAAGTAAAGAGTAGACACCCAAAACAGGAGAACCCTTGAGGGTTATAAAAGAGTCTCATGAACGAAAAAAGCAAACAAAAGAACAATGGCATTGCGAGCGGATTACGAGAATAGCGCGGACATAGGAGTCTTCACAAAACTGACGAACAAATATTGTATGACTGCCCCTGGTGGATCATCTTCGTACAAAACGATCGAACAGGAGCTTTCCTCCAAAATTCCATGTTTTGAAGGAACGATAGGTGGTCTTCGTATCATCGGGCGATTGGCTGTTGGTAATAGAAAAGGTCTTCTTCTCCCACACACGTGCAACGATCAAGAGATGCTTCATATAAGAAATTGCCTTCCTGATGATATCGTCGTTCAACGTGTCGAGGAGAGGATGTCTGCTCTCGGCAATTGTGTTGTGTGCAATGACTACGTTGCACTTGTTCATCCAGAAATCGACAAAGAGACCGAAGAGATCATTGCTGATGTCTTAGGCGTCGAAGTCTTCAGACACACTATTGGTGGAAACCCACTTGTTGGTACTTATGCTGTTGTCACTAATAAGGGAGCAATGCTTGCGCCATCCGCAACGGCACAGGAACAAGAAGAGCTCGGAACTATTTTGCAGGTCCCACTTGTGTCTGGAACAGTGAACAGAGGGTCTGACATGTTAGGGTCTGGAATGGTTGTGAACGATTGGGCTGGTTTCGTTGGCGTGTCAACAACAGCAACAGAGTTGTCAGTGATTGAAGGGATTTACAAACTCAGAAACGAAGCAGACGTTCAGTTTGCTTCTGTTATGCAGATGATGCAATAATTGATTTGTGCTTTGTGTCGTTTTTTGTACGCTTATAACTCGTTTCGTTCGGCACTTGTCAATCACATTGACTCATTTGTTTTATATTATTTAACCATTCAAAACCATTTGGAAACTATAAATGTATTACTACAAATTTATTTCAATTGGTTATTTTAAATCATATTTAAACTATATGAATAGTAAATCTTCCTATTTATAACTAATTTATTTAGTTAATAATAAAATCATTTTTCTTCATTGTATCCTTGGAAACAAACAGACAGATTGAATCTCCAGATTAATAAATGATTAATTGAAAAGTTGAGTTTAAGTAATTATAGTTCTGAATTAATAAATAATTAAAAATGAATTAAAATATGAAAAAAATGTCGGAATGAACGATAGATTACAGCAGAAAAAAACACACAAATACTCAGGCCACCTTGGCCTCGTTAAGGACTTCTTCGTCCCAGTCGATGTAATAATCCTTCGGGTGATAGTACCTCATAACGATACTTTGGTACTCCTCGCTGAAATAGTTAATCATCTTCTTTGACAACGGACAGACCTGTTCCAAGTTAATCCATTTGATTTGTTCGCCCGTGACCCTGTACCTGAGTTTGCCTTGTGCAATAGCCCACGCCACAGAGCTCAGTCGATATTTCTCGATGTCCTTTCGCACGCTTTCATTGATCGATCTGAAGAACCCTTCGAACGCCGGATTTAAGAAATGAAAATGTGACGACGAATAATACATAAACGCATTATGCCAATGCTCTGGGGTGTTCATAATCCCGTCGCGCCCCTTTTGCTTGACAAACTCCATTAACATCTCATCAATCTCATGCCCTATCCCAAGACCAGGATGAATTTGTCCAGGTAAGACCAATGCGCCTTTCTGTGGCCGAATGCGGTAGTCTTGGAGTCGTAACCAGTCTATGACGGTGAGATCTAACTCGGTTTTACCCAACTTCTTTTTCATAAACTCAGTCCCCTCATCCATCGATGGTTGAAGGTATCCCGCCGCAATGATTTTTTTCGAATTAAAAACATTGAATTTGCCATTCACGTGGAGGAAAAGTTGACAGAGTAAATTCTTCGAATCTTTTTGTTCATTAAAAACATACATCTCGGTGTTACTTTGTGATTATTTGAATTATAACGGATAAAACCAATTCCGAAAAAGTTTTTGAAATTGTGAAAAATCATGTTGCCAAAAATCAGATTGCGATTGACGGAAAGAAAACACATTTAGGGCTTGTAATTATGTAGAAGAAGGAGAAACAAACCTTGTGGACATAATAATCACTTGTGTCGAAGTCAAAAATGACTTTGTCAAGACTCTTACTTGTGAGGATTTGCTGAATCGTGTACCCTGCATTGTGGCCCTTCTTGACTTTGTACTTCAGTATCTGGTTCACGAGCTCGTTGTGATCCATGTAGTTTAGAAATTTGTTAAGGTTTTTCGGGACGTTGTTGATGTCAAGAATGTCCTCGTCATCAAAAATCATGATGGTGCTGTCGATGGCGTCCGCTTGAAGCATTGAACCAAATATCAAATTCGATATCTTTTGGCAAATAAACGAGAAAATCCATTGCACCAACGCCCAAAATCCGTGACTTTCCTTTGTTGCCTGTTGTGCTTCAACTCCCATTATATTTTTCGAGTTCTTTTTTCTTCTTATAATTATTGAGGTAATTTTGGTATATAAATGTGTTATATTACGGGCTTTTTGGATATATTCTTTTTATATTTTTGATTGGCATTTACAACTTGAGGTTTTATTTTGCTCTCAAATACTCTACAAACAAAGGAAATTCACCAAATCAAGACAAATAATATTATTTGCTTTTGAATTACTTATACTTAAACAATACCGTTTTATTATTATTAGTATATATTGTTATACGATTATTTTGGTTTTCAAATATCAATTTTTATTATAAATAATAGTTAATTTTTGATTGTTTTATAATTAATTTATTTATTATGATTTTAATTTTTATTTGTTTTCATTGGAAATAGTATTAATTTATTTTTTTAGTTGAAAACAAAATTATTGAGATAATAATATTACTTTTATTATTATTATTTGTTTTAAAATAATAATAATAATAATTTTATCTAATAAATTTAATTATACAATATAATACTTTTACAAAGAAATTTTATTTAAAAACCATTTCAATTGTTTTTGGACATTGATAAATAACAAAAAAAGATTGCAAATGTTGGAATGAAAATATATTTGAAAGGAAAAAAAGGGAAAAATAATCAATCAAAACTCAGTGTTCGACGTACAGCTTCAATTTGCAGACGAAGAAACCGTCCATATTCTGTACGTGTGGCAAGAAACGTCTGGCCAACTTAATCGATGGGTTGAAATGATATTGTTTCCACCCAACCATTCCAGGTTCACCAACACCCTCTTGTAAATCGATAGGGACGACCTTCACATTTCTCTTTCTAAGTGCGTAGTCAACAACAGCCTCGTTCTCTTGGACAGAAACGGAACATGTCGAGTAGACAACATATCCACCAGTTGCACTCTTTGGATTGACTGAGTCGATAGCGTGGAGAAGCAACTCCTTCTGCATCTTAGAATAAGTTCTAAGATCTGCCTCAGACTTGCTCAACTTGACAGAAGAGTCTTTGGATATAATACCAAGACCGGTACACGGTGCATCGACCAACACTCTGTCAAAGCCACCCATCACCTTTGGGAACTCGTGTCCATCGTATGAAGTGACGATGGTGTTTGTAATCCCAAGACGTTGAACATTACCAACAACAGCCTTAAGTCTGTCTTTGCTCACGTCGTTCGCGACAAGTGTACCAGTGTTTTTCATTAAAGCCGCAATGTGCGTCGACTTACCTCCTGGTGCAGAGCACATATCCAAAATTCTCTCATTGGGTTGTGGGGCCAATGCAATCACTGCAGCCCAAGACGATGAAGATTGAAGGATGTACATACCAGACAAATACTCAACAGTTGCACCAATCGGGATTTGTGACTCATATACGACCAACCCTGATTTACACCATTCGATCATATCAACGTTCACCCCCTTTGCTATCAACTTCTGGGCCAAATCTCTTCTCTTTGATTTTAATGTATTCACTCTAATGGTGGTTGGTCTTGGAGTCTCATTGGCTTCCATGAAGTCGACTGCGGCTTTTGGACCAAACAGATCGACGACGAAATTTGCCAAGAATTCGTTGCACGAGTAGTAAGTCTGAATGTCTTGAATTAACAAATTCACATACTCTTGACGACTTCTTCCTTCTTCGCGCTTATTCTTGAAGTCGTTCAATACAGCAACAACCTCTCTAATTCGAGTCCCGATCGTTGCCATATCACCAAATTCTCGACTCTTTACAACTTCTTGTCCTGAAGGCAGTACATATCGCTGCTCCTCTGCGACGTTTGTTAACAACTCCTCTTCTGCTTCTTTTTTCACTTGGGCTTCCTCTTTAATTGTTTGTTTTGCAGCCTTCTCAAACTCATTTTCGGAGAACTCGTCGTTGATCTCTTCAGATTCAGAAGGGAATAACTCTTTCTTATCGTTCTCATCATCATCTTCACTCTCCTGTTTTTGTTCCTCATTTTCATTCTCACTCTCCTGATTGTCTTGATCCTCAGACATCGATGGGTTCTCTTCTTTTTCTCGTTCCTCTTTTTGTCTAGCTATCTCTTGTTCGATTTCGTGAATCTCTTGTTTGTCAGTATGGTCCCCGGAGTTTTCAGAAGAGCTTGTAGATGATGGGTTTGACAAAACGGGTTCGTCAACAATTTCTTCTTCGACAGCTTTTACTCTTTTATTCTTGTTTACTGATGCTCTTCTTTTCATATCTGCTGTTATTTGTTCTGTCAAACCCTACTTTTTTTCATTTGGTGTTATACCAATTTTTTTAATTTGTAAATCGAAAAAATGTTATTAGAATTTATATTTTTTTATTTTTTAATTCTTTTGTTTAATTCAAATCAATTAGTTTATTTAGTTATATTTTTAATATATTATTAATTCAATAAGTATTAATAATATATATTATATTTTATAGTTTATTAATTATTTCAAGAAGTTTAATCAGTAAATTATTAATCAAAAATTAAATATAATAGTTAAATATTAATTAAAGAAACGAGAAAAAACTTCAATATAAGAATATAGTTTTATAAAACTAAAAACATAATAATTAAGAAAACAACAGAAAAACTACTTTTTATTCGAAAAATTAAATGAATAATTAGTAAAATTAACCAATAAAAACTAAAAGAAAAACAACTAGAAAGAATAGTAAAAAGAATTAAAATAGACGGGAGGTCAGAGAAACGGAAAACCTACGAACTTTAATTTGGACAGCAATGCCAAAGCACGTCAAGCCAGCACGACAGCAAGTGATTAACACCCCAGTCGCACATGAGATGAGCAAGAAAGTGACCATCAACGGAAAGACTGTGACGGTCACATCGAATGCTGCTGTTGGAGGGAAAGGGAACATGAGAATGAAGCCAAAGGTCCAACACAAGGGTGCTGCCGTAGATGCGAAGAAGATGGAGGCGACGATGAAAACGCTCAAGGCACAGCAAGTCCAAGCCATCGACGAATGTGAGATGATCCAGAAGCATGAAGGCAACTATACTATAACCAACTGGAAGAGCCCAAAAATCTCAACTATTGCTGAGGGAGGTGTCTTCTTCGTCTCCGGTAAAAACGCCGTCAAAAATATGACCGAAGAGGAATTCAACAAGGCCGCTCAAGAACAGATCGAAGAAATCACAAAACAATTCAAGGCCCCCGAAAAGACCGAAGAAAAGGTCGCTGAGGCCCAAGAGGAAAAGAAGGAAGAAACAGAAGTTAAAAAGGACGAACCAAAGGCCGAGGACAAAAAGGTCGACGTCGAAAAGACAGATTAAGTCGTAGCGCTTTTTTATTTCGTTTGACCGTCTTTGTATTCCAATAAACTTAATCTCCTTTTTTGAGAGATGAGTAGTTAAGATTAAGATTTGATGCGTTGAATTTTTATCTTTGAAATATTAAAACGTTTTATCGGTAAAATTTTGATAATTAAAAATTTAAACTACTCATTGTGCTTAAAATTATTTTTTTTTTCATTTCCGATATATTAATGTACTAAAAATTGTTATTTATTTATTATTTATTATAGTTGTGTTTTTTTGGCAATAAACAATTATAATATATAATATAAATTAATAACATTTTTATTATACTATTAGATTATATTTTTAATTTAGATTAGAAGCTATTTTGTACATTGAAGACTACACAATGTAAAATGTGCCTTTGGGTTTTACACTTCATTAGACAGACACATTTCATTCAATTTAAAGAATTATTTAATCATTTTAATCAATACAAAAAGGAAAAATCTGTGTGTTGAGTATTTTTCACTGATTAGTGTTTGGTAGTTGTGAAATGGATGTGCAAGTTGTCAAAAAGAAGAGTGTTTTATGTGTCAATTATAATTATTATATAAAAAATGCGGGAATTGTTCTTTACATTGTAGAAAATGTGGCTTTGCAAAGGAGTGTGAATCTTGTGAAAAAAAAATGTGAATGGGTATTACAAATTTAAAAATTTATTGCACACAAAAAACAAATTATAAAATTGGTAACTTAAAATATTTCTTAAGATTTCCCAAAAGCATTTCAACAATACACAAAATAACAAGAACAATTTCTGTGCACATCCAAGTTAAACTTTGTCTATAAAAATTATCAACTATAATACTACACAAAGACAAAATGAGTCCAATCAATACAACACAAAACCCTTTATTTGTAGCAATAACAGAATTTATGTATTTAACTATATTTGAAACACTTTTTAATTTAATTAAGAAATACACCCCTTCATACATTTTATAAATGTTATTGTCTTCATATAGAAACACCCATAATTGCAATAAAATGACATCTAATAGCAATTCAAACATCCACAAACTTATCGAATTTACTTGTTCCATACAAAACAAATAATAACACTTTCCAATGAGTATACTTATCCATATCATAACAAATATAAAATTAACAACATCTAAATCACTAACTCTATGATAGTTGGTTGCTTCAATAATAGAACCAATGTAATAAATGAACACTATAACACAAACGATTATATATGTGTAAAATTTCATACTTTCAAAACTTTCGATTTTACTATTTTGAATAAAATCAAAAATTGCCAGAAACTGTTTTGCAATTAAAAACAACAAAACAACTAAAAAGGGAGACACAAGAAAATTTCCTCGAAATTCAGTTGAAGTTTCAACGTGTAAAAAATCAATTGGAACGTTCAAACCAGTCTCTCTAGTTATGTTCTTAACATTAAGAAGTTCCTTCCAATTCTTAATAATATTTATCCCATAAGAAGAAGTGATTTCTTCAACACTTGTTGGAAGGGTAACTGTTGAAGTATTTAAATACACTTTTCTGAGTTCACTAAACATCGAGTAATCTGTGCCATAACTTATTCTTAGTGTTGATGGAAGGTACATCTGATTGTACCACGTTTTAAATTTGTCGTTGTTATATCTTTCATTAACGATTTGATAATTTGAAGTAATTAAATATATATTCTGTTCAATTGAAAGTAACAAATAAATGTTATTTGGAATAGTTTTACTTGTTATATAATCATTTGGATAAAAATCGAAATTCACTGTAAATACCACTTTTATCGTTTTTGGAATTTTTGTGTAAATGTGTTCCCATATCATAGATTTGTAATATTTTTCAATATCAATTTTTATTAACGTTAGACTTGGAAATGCGTCAAACGGAAAGTTAATATGTTCTAATACAGAGCTTGTTATAGAAACAGTAGTCACATGTGGATATACTATAATATCATTT